TGTGCTCTGACAGACTGAATGTGGCTGCTGCTGGGCGGTTGCCTCTTTCAACCTTTAACTGTCTGATCCTGGGATTTCCCAAAGCCTCCTGCTTTTTCTTTGCTAATCTGTTGCTTTTTGTCAACCTCAAGTGCAGGTTCTCTAAATATAACCCCCAGCATTTTCTGTGCAGACTAGTTACATGCTGTACCCTGGATCTTGCCATATGCTTTGTGCCCTCCCAAGGGTATTTGGTTTTCTTTCATGCAAATAAAACTTGATTTTCTTCTGTGATTTTCTGGAAGCTTGTTTGGTGATAGAAATGTGCAAGTTGCAGCCAATTTCTGAGCTTGCTTCTCACTGTCCTGTTGAGCTTCTGCCTGAGAAGTGTCTTCAGCATCAAACCTTGATGTCTGGAAGTGCTTGGAAGGTCTGAGGCTGGGTCAGGTGTGATGCACAGGTAGCACTTGGTGCTGGAGGGGAGGGGGGCAGGATTGTTCTTAATGGAAATTTAAATCTGATGCATTTAACTCTTCTAATGTGAATTATTTAGTACTCTTTCAGGTGCTGGCAGTCTGCTTTAATATTGATGTATTGAGGAAATTAATCTCAGGGTACTTCTTTAGGGAATATGACATTTTATCCAGGAGCTAGTCACCAAAAAAAAAGGCACAGTCTGTCCCTGTAGAGAAATTCCATGTCTCCATGTCAGTTTCCTGCTAACTTCTGCTCTTTGGTGTGAAGAGAATGCTTAGACTCCCTTTAATTCTTCATAGACAAATTTACAAGTTGTAAAGACCATCTTTAGTTTCCTAAAAAGTTGTCTTCTGAAATAGCACTTGGAATAACTGATCTTCTCAAGTATGTCTAAGCAGAGGAGTGAGTGTATTGTTCACAGGCAGAGATGGGGAGAAAGCACTAACACTTGAGTCACTAAAAAATAAATCCCCCTATGAGTGATGGCAATTCCTGCAAGTAACAAGGCTGTGTCTTTTGGAGGAACTCAACTTGTACTGCAGCATCTCCTTTTTTTACATCAAGCCTTTCCATTACTGAGTTGTCACGCATAAATTTCATCATATTGTGGATCTGCTTAGCATAGTTATTCCAATAAAAGTGATATCTGAGTTGGAGTCACTGTAAAAATGTGATGGATTTACTGTCCCAGCAGTTTATACAAGTAGGTGAAGGGCTCTCAGATAAATAGAGAGAGAAGCTGGGTTATGAGTGTACATTGAGAACAGTTGTGCAGATCACACCCCCTGCTTGCTCAAAGGATGCTTTTTCCAGGTGAATGCTTTCAGACAGCCAAATAGGAAAGTCTCCTGAATCCCAGCTGCTTATTTCAGCCTCCTTTTATAGGCAGATGGACCCTTGGAAAAAAAAAAAAAAAAAGGGGAAAAGAAACCCTAGCTGGAAGTTGGCAGCAGCAGGTTTGCATGTGTGAGGCAGAAAGGCTGAGTGTGTGGGATTGGGGATGTGCGTAATTCTGTCTCCAGGCTCAGGCAGCAGAGCTGGGGACAGATGCCAGCAACATTTTATCCTAGAAAGGGAAAAAAAAGAACCCAAAAAAGTGTGTGGGTTGTACATTTTATTATTTTTTTTTTTTCCTGGAACTGCATGATGTAGAGATGAGGGCTGTGCAGCCCAGCAAGGGCTCCCCCCTAGCTGCACCCAGCAGGGCAGGCAGGTGTTGATGAAGATTTTGCAAATGTTGCAGTCACTGTCACACTCTGCAAATAACCAGAGGGCTGAAGTGGCTTCAGGGAAGTGGATTTTTTCCAAGCCTGACAAAGCCAGGGGTGCTGTGGGGAAGCAGTGGGTTGCTAGAGTAGAGGAGCTGCTTGGGAGGTAGCTCTGGGCTGTTAAGGATTATTCTTTAATTATACAGAGGGAGAAATCTTTTGGGGAGGAAGAGTGGTGAAAGGCTTGGGGATGGCCTGAAGAAAAATGAATTAAAGTCAGTTGGCTGAGGGAGAATGGGCAAAGATGCATTTGTGATAAACAACTTGTTCTGTTTGTGATTCCAAATTGAAATTCCCTTTAGTCAAGTGGTTAAAGTGTGATGATACAGATACGTAAGAACTGACCAGATCTCCCATATAAAGTAGAGTCTTGGAGATAGAAAGATGGGTTTAATTTTTAATATAGCTTAAACACTTGAAAGACTTAAAAGCTCTGGAGACTGTTTGCTTGAAAACTGTTGAACACTTGGAAGCCCATAGATGAGCAGGTGTAGGTCTGGCTGCTGAGGGCAGGAGAACTGGGGATACCAGAGAGCAGCTGCAGAAAGGTAGGCAGAAAGCTGCTGCCCTTTTGTTCCAAAGGACTAAAACTGTTCTGAGGGAAGAATTACAGGACCTGCTACGTGTGCATATGACTTTTTCAGCACAGAAACAAGCCAGGATGACCTCTTACATACTTCCTATTCATGATGGAAATGATTTTTTTTTTTACTCAGAATCCCATTGTCAAGAAATTATAGATTGCTATCCTTGCTGCTGTGCTAATTGAAAAACATCCATTTGGGTGGTTAAAAATACTGCTGCTTCCAAGGAAGGAAGGGATGCATCCATTTCCAGACTTATAAAATCCTAATTTACCCATGAAACTTTGCCTTCAAGAGGGGGTTTGGTTTGAGTCAAGCGAGCAGGGAGATGTGATAGTCAACCCTGGTGTGCTCCTCATCAAACTGCATGTCCCAGAAAGCTGAGAAGACAGTGGGATGAGTGAATCCTGCCTGCAAAGGGGATACAGGGTGTACAAATTTGAGCCTGAAGGTAGCACAGCAGCATAAATATAGCTACCCAGCAGCATAACAGATTCCTTTCACACAGTGACTGAAGTTCTGACAGGCATCAAATCAGTGTTTTTCTTCATTCCCTTTTATATATCTTGGGTATTTTTAAACAATGATGCTTCTGTGTTTAATTTTCTTTGGGAGTTGGGTGGTGTAAATCTGAGGCCTCAGAGGACAACTGCAGATGTGCAGGTGACACCAGAGACCCCCATGTCAGTGACTTTCAAGATAGAGTGAGGGACAGGGACTTCAGTAAATGTAGGACATTCTGCTCCCACTAACAGCTCAGCCTGTGTGTTCTAAACATGATGGGTATAAAAATAGTTGCCCAAGAGAAGTTGTCCTTCTGAGGAACTCTGCTTTCATGAAGGCTCTTTAAAGCTGTCTCTGCCATTGTGGTGACAGTGACAGGACTCCAAAAACTAGAAGCTGCACAAATTACCCTGGTAGGGGATCATGCTGCCACCTGAGGAGTCTATTCAGTGGTCACTGATCTGTGTATTTGCAAACAGAAAAAAACCTTTTTTAAAGATACAGTAATAATTTAACTTGTGCTGGTCATTTCCTCAAAGCCATGACTTTCCTTAAAGTAAAGGTACTTAACTCAAGTGACTTCAGATACACACAGAATGGGATTTTACACATGTTGGACAGAAATAAGAGAATCAAGCCACGACCAGAAAGATTCCAGAACTGCAAAGATGTTTTTGATTTGATCCTAACGTGTGAAGAGAGAGTCTATGATCAAGTAGTAGAAGGTAAGGACCTTGAACTGATAAACCAAGTTAACTTTGAATGCTTTTTCTTTCCCTTCCCCCTGAAGTCCTTCATAAATCTGGACCCATCTCCTCTGCTGCTGCAGCTGGGACCAGCAGGGGCAAGAGCTCACAATCCATTGATGTAGCCTTGATGTACCAAGGGAGTGATGGCTCAGTACTTATCTCTGAAAGATGCTGCTGTTGGCAGCTACACAGGATGTGCATGTATAATTTTAAGGGCTGACATAGGGAATTAGCAAGCATTTAGAGAAACTCCAGTGCATGGCTGGTTTCAAAATGCTCATGGATCTGGAAGACTAGCAACTTGTACCTGCTGAGCATTTTTGCACCCTGGGTTGGTGGAGAAACCAAAGTCTAAGCTGTCTTCCCTTCCCCTCTCTGCAGATGACTTCTTGTGACCTCCCAAGCAGTTTATCTGCCATAAATGTCTCCTGTGCAGGTGGAGAAACTGTTCTAGAGCATGGTTACCACTCTGCAGGCGTGCTGGGAGTTTGCCCTTAAATGAGGCAAAGTGAGATGAGCCAGTGGGATCTCAGCTGGGGCTTGGGCTGTGTGAACACAGTGCAACAAGCTTGGTGTGAAAGTCCTGGGGCTTCAGCAGGGACTCAGTGAGCTCCTGGCAGAGACCCTGTGTCTGCTGGACATGAGCTTGTGGGAGGCTTAAGTGTTTCTTTTACATTGAAAGACCAGCCAACTGAATGAGAGTCATACACAGAATTTAAAAGGCCTTCTCAGTCTGCAGTGGTTGTGGCACAAGCATCTGTGTCACAACACATTTGAGCTTCTGCAAGCTGAGCAGTTAGTGTTCTGAGTGTTGAAATGTTTGAATTGTGTTGGGAAGTTCTGAGAGCAGCTGCTGTGGTACTTGAATGGATCTGCAGCCATTGCCTCGTGGAAAGAAGCTTTCTGGTGGATGTTTTAGGAGAGTATCCTGAGGAGGGGAGGAGCAACCTCTTGCTAATTGGAGCATCTCTCAGTCTTCATGGTAGTGCCCCTCATACTTGACCAGAGAAAGGAAGAAGGTTTGAATGCCAACACAGGGCTCTGGGTGTGAAAGCTGAAGGACTAAAATGGCCTCAAGAGGTTTGCCAGAATGAAGCTGCAGAAGGATTAGGAGAGAGCAACTTGTAGGTTAAAACCTATAGCAGGAAGGTTATATTAGAGAAGCATGACAATAACATGTAGTAGGAAGAGGATCCTTTGTTCTGCCCTCCTCACCCCTTGGTAATGGGAGTATCACATTAACCCTGGGATGGTCTAATGTGACTCAGAGCTGAACTTTAAGAGCTCACCCTGGAATTCCAGAGGGGTGGATGTACAGGGCTTTTTTTGAGAATGGGCAAGTAAAGCTCCAGGTAAGGGAGCCCAAAATCATTCTTGACTTTTGAGAATCTGGATATTTAAATACTGTCAGAGTAAGGTGAGCAGGAACTTTTCTTGACTGGGGCAAATAAACCGTCTAGACTCTGAATTCTTTTTGTTTCCAAAATCCATCCCTTGTTTTTAAAATAAGAGGGACTGATGTTTCTTAAATAAAGCGTTTTCTGAAAACAAGTTTGGAGAAGGCAGAGGTGGACAGTGTCTGTGTGTTTCTAAAAATCTTATGAATACTGAGTCAAAATCTGCTCCCATTCCACCCAAAGTTTTGCTCTTACATGTGTTCTGTTTTCAACTAGATTTAAATTCCAGAGAGCAGGAGACGTGTCAGCCAGTACATGTGATCAATGTGGACATTCAGGATAACCACGAGGAGGCCACCCTGGGGGCTTTCCTCATCTGTGAGCTCTGCCAGTGTGTAAGTAGAGATGGGTCCTTGCCTGGGGGTGCCTTGGACCCACCTGACTGCACAGGGTCCCTTAGTGCTCCTTAAAGGTGCTTCATCCTGCAGAAGTTGTTTAGTCTGTGTCAAGATGTGAAAGCTTCTAAATTCTTGTGGTTGTTTTTGGAGCTGTTGTGCACATGGATGAATTGTAACTTGAGTTCATGGCTTCCAAACTGGACTGTGTGTTCAAAACCAGTGCATGGGTGGTAGTTCCTGAACCCTGCACACAACCCTTACACGTGGGGAGCCCACGCTCAGCAAACACTGCTCATGGCAGAATCCATTTCAAAGGCAGTTGCAATATGTAGGATTGAAACATCAGAGTTGCTTTCTGGATCATGATGTACTTGAAAAACATCCTATGTAGGTGTATTTCATAGTGCCACCCTGGTGTGTGGATGGTGTGGAAGATAAAGCTGGCCATCCGCAGTCAGGGGTCCAGCCCTGGAAGTAGGACTGAAAGAAGCTGCACTGGGAACAGTCAATGGAACTGTCAAGAGACCAGAGAAAGGATCCTTGTCCTTTCATGGAGTTCACCTATTCCAGTGTGGCAACAGGCTATTTTTTTAAACTCCAGCCTGTGTGATCTATTCTGGTCTTAAATCCTTTGCAGATTCAAAAAGCCTGAGAGGGTTCAAGGAGTTGAAATTGTAGCCATCTGTTCCATGTGCTTGTAGCTTTTCTGGAGCTCCTGTTTGTTACCCTGTGAGGATGGATGTTGCCTCCTCAACAAAGTAGCAGCTTAAGTGCTGGTTCAGTGGGTTGGAGAAGGAAGGATATGCAGATAAACAGGATGTGGGATAGATGGACACTTGGGAATGCTGGGGAGCTCAGCAGAGCACCCAGTGCTGCACTGGTTGGTACAGCTTTAGGTTGCACAGTGAGCCCAAAGCATGGGAAATGAGTCGTTTTATTAACTGCATGGTATCCTTGGAGCCTGGTTGCTTAGTATCTTTTCTCTTCTAGATACAGCACACAGAGGACATGGAAAACGAAATAGATGAGCTGTTACAGGAATTTGAAGAGAAAAGTGGAAGGACTTTTCTTCATACTGTCTGCTTTTATTAAAGCACATCTGTCTCCTAGGCCTTAATACAGATGAGGGAAGCATGTGTTTAAAGTTCTGATTATACTGTATTTTCCTGGAAAATTAATATTGATTTTTTTTTTTCTGTTTGTTTGTTTAAAAACTCCTTTTCAGTGTCTTTTTGTTTTGTTTCAGGTATTCTGTCACAGGTAGGCAGAGATACTGGTTAGGTTTGTACATATGAGATGATTAAAAGTATACACAAAGGCCACCTATTTAAAAATCAAGATTTTCTTTAAATCCTACTTTAATTATTACAAGTAGGCTTTTAATTATAAAGAGAATGTTTCTTGAATATAAGTTTATAATGTATTTTTCCAGCTTACAAATTTATTTTATTTCAGTTGTGCTTTTTTTTTATGTTAATGTGACAGAATGGCTGAACCACGTGAGGATGTGAATGGAATAATGAAAACCAAGTATCTGTATATTATTAGATATAAAGTTGGAAGCATCCAATAAAAATGAAAAACCTGTGAGTTTGTCTGTTTTCAACATAGAAGGCAAGTGAGTGTGAGGTGAAATACAGAGTGTCTGAAGTAGCAAAGGAATTGTTGTTTTGGGGAGGGTGGTGACAGTGAGAGGACCCTGGCAGGAATCAGGAGCCCCAGCTGTGGCCCTTGCTCAGGGAACCTGTGCATCTTGGGCAGCTCATAATGATTTTTTGATGCTGTGTTGAACTAAAATGAACTGCTTGCTCTGCATGAATTAGGGCACTGACAGGAAATCTTTTGGGGTCTCAATTGCTTTTGAATTATTGTGTGTGAGATTAATAAGACTGTACCTGTAGCCACCAGGGCCAATTGTATGTATGTCTTCTGTAAAGAGGGTGGGGAGAAACAGCAAATTCCACTATCAATGGAAAGAGTTTAAAGCTTTTTTTTATTCTGAAATACCTTTTTAATAGAAGCATTCTCTTCCCATACAGTGCCACAGCTCCAAACCCAGAAACAAACAGAGCAGAAGCTCAGACTCATCTTTGCTGAAACTGGTAAAAGTTAAACCAAATGATTAGGCATTCAGAATGTAAATGGTGAAGTGCTGCTGCTTGTCTTGTTAAAGGAACCTGTATATGATTTGCAGCAAATGAGGTCTGGGTGCTCTTTAAGACTTGGGTATGTGAGGACAACTCTTTAAACATCATGTTAAAAGTGAAGCAGCAGAAAACGGGGGCTGAGCTCCTGGCTTCCCTCTCTTTCCTTCTCTCACCTAATTTGGCTGAACTCTGATCATTTTGCAGGGGCAGGAAGCTAGTGCTGGGTGCTTGCTCTGAATGTAGGGCAGCATTACCCATCTCTGCACATAACTCCAGCAGTGTAGGTACTAAGTCCTGTTGCAATGCTGCTTGATCCCTGCAGGGAGCAGACTTGGGTGCAGGAAAAGGCACCTGCCCCACACCTGAAAGCTTCAGGTCCACGGCTGAGGATCCTCCTTTGCAGTCACAAAGTGTGCAACTCTCAGCCAGGCCCACCAGGGAATCTTCAGCCCCTCCTGGGATCTGGGGCTGGCTGTGCTTTCAGCTGCCCTGTGGGAGAAGCAGGGCCCTGCCAGCTCACCCTGTGTCCTGGGCTGTGTCCAAATGGGTCATTGCATCGTGCTTGGGTCCCTGAGATGTTTCATAGCCCTGAAGTACCTGGTGCTGTTCTTCTCTGGTAAAAATCCCTAAAGCAAGGTTTTTGTGGGGAAGGAATGAATAGATGGGAGCAATGAGAGGATGGGCAGTCCCAGCAGCAGCTGTGGTGAGGCTGGCAGGGAGGCTGTTCTGCCTTGTCCTGGCCTGTTTTGTTGCTGGAGCCTCCGTGTTGGAAGGATTTCATTCAGCCTCCCCTGCTTCTGCTCATCTGGCTGGTACCAGGGCTGGTTACCATGGGGACATTCACAGCCAAAGGAAGAAGATGGTTCTGTAAGGACTGAACTGCTTTAGTTGGTCCCTTTAAAAAGGCATTTCAAGCAAGCACAGTACTGAGTTATTTTGAGCAGTTTTCCTTCCCTAGCCAGTGTCTGTACTGAGGTCTGCTCCGTGGCAAGGTGGGACCTGGGGGCTGTTGGAGAACATTTTCTGCTTTCAGCTTCATTAATCCTAAACAGAGCTCTTTGCTGGTGTTTTACAGAAAGGCAGTAAAAAAACCAAATGGCATCTTTTCATCTGTGTTTTGTGTGTACGTAGAGATGTACACAACTGTCCTTTTTATTACATAAAACCAGTACTTTTCATGTGCATAATGGGCAGTTCTTGATGGCTTGGGATAATATTCCAACCTGGGGCTGCACACTCAGGGTGGAAAAACCTGAGGTGGTTCCCATACAGATCTCTGGCCTTTTCCATCACCTCCACCAGTGCTGCTGGGAGTTAAAAGGTATTTAACACAGAGGGAGGGACATGTTCCCTGTGTGCCCTCAAGTGCTGAGGGCTAAAAGAGCAGCTCAGGCAGCAGGACTGGGGTAGAAGAGAGGGAAAGGGGAAGAGAATGGTCACTTCCCTGTGGAAGGGTGATGGTGGCAGTGCAGCACGAGGCTTGGAGCTGCACAGGAGCCACGGGGTGTGTGGGTGCTGGTTGTCACAAAGGAGCAGCTTCTAGCAAGCTTCAAGGGCTGAGGAGCAAGATTAACAAACCTGCTGTAAACTCGTGTGGTGATGTCCCCAAACACACCTGTTGGCACCTGCAGTACCAAGGCAGCCTGCACTCAGGTGGCACCAGGCACAGGCAGTTCCTGCTTCCTCCTGCCATCAGATGGAAGGCCCTGGAGAAGCTCTCCTTGGCCTGATTTCCCCTGGACAGGCAGGTGAGTGGCCGGGGTGGCTTTTTCTTGGGGCTGGAGCACGTGCTGCACTGAGGGGGCAGAAGTACTGCTCTTGCTTTGTTCCTGCAAGAGCAGCAGGGCTGCTGGTTTGCCCAGGTTGGTCTCCAGGCTGATCCCAGCTGTGGCCATACACAACTCATCACAGCGATGCCTGGGATCCCATCAGCCAGGACTTCAGCTCCAGGAGGACCACAAGGTAAGATGGTTCCTCCAGAGCTCTGCTGAGGAACCTGGATGAGACAGTGAGAAAATCCCCTGGGTGCCCCAAGCCCCTTGGGGAGCTGACCCAGCCCTGGTGGGGGGAGCAGGAAGGTTGGCTGGAATCCCACAACCTCAGGCACACAAACTTCTGGAGCCTTGTCTTCAAATTGTCTGTTCTGTGATTGGATTTGACTGTTACTTTAAAAATGCTCTCTAAAAAAATAAATAAATGCTGAAAGGAGTGTTTTCTCCAAGTAGCAGAGTTACTCCCTGGGTTGTCCCTGTGGAGAGGGGGGAGAAACCAGCTCCTGGCTCAGTGAGGGCAGCTCAGGGCAGAGGGCAGGGGAGGAGGGAACAGGAGCTGGGCAGGATTGGGTGACAAACCCCTTCCCAGCCTGGCTGCTCTTTTGGAGCAAATGTTTCATGGGTGTGGTTTCATTTTTTATATATTTTTATATTTATTTTACAAAAATATATTTTAAAAACCCCCACCAACCTGCAATGCAATCTGTGCTCTAATTTGAGGGCACCATTTAGTGATTTTAATTGTGTGGCAGTATTTTGGTATTTTCAATACCCAGTAGTAGGTTAATGACTGTTCCTTGAAGAATGGAGTTTATGTAACAGCAGCCATTGCATAAGGAGGCTGGTGGTGGCCTGAGGAACAGAAGGAAAAACAAATATGGAAGGAAGCAAAGCCCAGAGCAGGCAAAGTCTTCTCTGGTGGCCCCAGGAAGCCTAAGAAATAAATGCTCCTTGGGTTTGCATCAAGGTGACACTAACCTTGAGAGAAGCTGAGGGCTTGGAGATGAAGGAACCATCAAGCTTTTGTGCTGCCACGTGGTGGCTGGATCTTCTCCATCCACCCAGGCTGCCTGGTTTGCCTTCAGGAAGAACAACAAACAAAAATCAGGCAGAAAAGTTCTTGGCTGATCACTTGGGTTTTATTCATTTGTTATCATTTTTATTTTATGGCATTTATTTATTTTTCCTCCCCAGACGTGGCCTGGGCTTGGGTTGATGCTCCATGGGGAGAAACTTTCTGCTGGGACCTTCCATCTCAGGTTGGAGAGCTGGGATGGAGCTTTTTTGGGGGGGGACAATTACATTTCTGGAACAAAAGTGACTACTCCCCCTTGAAGTTTCCATCCCCGAGCTTTTCCTTGGGAGCAAAGTCCCACCTTGGCAGAGGTGGGAATTACTCCTGGCTTTGATGTCAGGGTGTCTGAGGACTTTTGGGGACTTGTCTCTATTTCCCTGGGAGGTGGGAAAGCCCCGGGGGTCCAGTCCGGACCATTCCCACCCCCTGGAATGAGGGGGGGATGGTCCCTATATCCCCTCCTGGGATACCAGGAGAGATGAGTCCGACCCAGTGCTGAAGGGACTGGGAACGCGGGGTCGGGGCTCAGCTCTTGGGGTGTGTGGGGGGAGAAAAACCCAAACACCGGGGCGGGGGGAACCCCCCCCCAAAAAAAAAACAAAACAACAAACAA